GTTTTACTGTTTACCTTGCCTTTGTAATTTTATTTTTAATTTCTTTTTTTCATTCTTAGTTTACTTATTTCTCTGATTTCATTCATCCCTATTGTACCTTATGTTACGGGGCTTTTAGCTGTGCCTTCAAACATTGACCTTAAAGCAAATGTTTTCAGAAAAAAATGAAGAAAGATAGAACTGTGCATAAATAAACAAAACTCTTTGCACACACCTTTTTCTTTTAACTGTAATCCTCTTATGTCCTATTTTGAAAATTAATAGTCTATCCCCACTTTCTCAATTTCTCCTTAGAAGTCTCAACCTACAAACCCTTCCTTTGCAATGCCTGCCCTAAATCCTAAGCAAGTTTCATGGCATATTTTTGTATCTCCATTTCATTGGAAAACTAATTATATTATACTTGATCTGTTTTTATATACACACCTATACGATTTTGAGTTTTTTTAATTTGTAAAAACAATGTTGGGGCATCCTGGAAACCCTGAGAGATAATGAATATAAAGCAAATGTACGTATAGTGAAATAATGAGTAAATCCAAGCATCCAGACATTCTAACGCCTTGCTGCCCATTGCCATTGATGTTTTTCTCATAGTTCACTTTTTCTTGGCATAATTCTCTGCCACCAACATTTCTTCTTCCTACTCCTTTGCATGAAATGGTCTAAACACATCTTCAATCTCACTTATTCAATTAGAGCATTCATTTGCCTCCATAAAATCTTCGATTACCACTCCCTCTTGTGTGTAATTGTCGCGCATTTTCCACTCAAAATTTTTGGAATGCTTTTCTTGAAGACCCTTTTCTTGCATTACTTATTTAATTTTTGAACACATCTTCACAATTTCAAAATGCTAGAAGGCTGACAGTTTTTTCTCTTCTAGTGCTTTTTCCTGTTTTAGAAAGACCAGCTTGTCTTTGCAAGACAAGAAATCATTTGCCACTCTGGACAGAATAATACAAAGCTCAGACACTTCAGGTCACCAGATGTCTTCATGTCCATACTTTTGCACCCCAAGATGAAGCCATGGTTCTACTCATTCTCCAGAGAAACTTTATCAAGGAATACTTAAAGGACCACCTGGCTTCCTGGGGAGTTTGTCTTTTTGACTGCTTTCAGTTGCAGGGTTTCTCCTTCCTCTCTGTGCCTCTTCATTACTCAGAGGGACTTTATAAACTACTGATATCCATTCACACTCTGAACACTGATTCATTGGGTTTAAGCTGAAGCCCTGTACTGGCTTGGTGCTTTTTGACAAGTTCTCTGGGCCATTCTAAGGCACATCTAGGTTCAAGAATCCCCATGTAAACCACGCTACTCCAGAGTATCAATAATTAACTAAGTGATAGTTATATATATATATAATAATATATATATACATATACATACATGTATATGTATGTATATATATGTACATATATATATATAATGCAAATTCATTCTCTGTGTCATGCCACACAGTCAACATAGTGCTTTCCATTTTTTATTGAGTCAGCATTTTGAGAATCTATAAACAATGTGATTTCTTTATCTTAACTTCTGCTGTACAACCTATCTTCTCAATAGACCCAAACTGGTGATGAATGATGATATGTAAATACTTGTCTATCTGCCCATTTATTTGTCTCTTTATCTGTATCTTGTATCTATCTATCTATCTATCTATCTATCTACTATTTATCTATCATCTGTCTATCCATCTAATCTGTGTGTCTGATTTACCATTGGAACAAAACCTTAACCCTTGCATCAATGGGTTTTCCTTCAGGATTTAGGATTCAGCACTAATTTGTTCACATAGCCAACTTAAATACTTTGCCAGAAGAATTTTGTTTTCAAAAAACTATCAAAATAGACCTTGAAATAGTAATGTAATACTGATATTGTTGGTATTGCTGAATTGTAATGGAATATTTTAAAATGTGGTTAAAAATGACGGATGGGGGGCGCGCCTGGGTGGCTCAGTCGATTAAGCGTCCAACTTCGGCTCAGGTCATAATCTCATGGTCTGTGATTTCGAGCCCTGCATCAGGCTCTGTGCTGACAGCTCGGAGCTTCGGCTTCTGTGTCTCCCTCCGCCTCTGCCCCTCCTCCACTCGTGCTGTCTCTGACTCTCAAAAATAAGCATTAAAAAAATGATGGATGGGATTTTTCATGATTCATTGTATGATACTCTCTATTTTGGATTTTTATTGTCAGTTATTTTTGTTTCATCCATTAAGTGTTATTTATTTATTTATTTTTTTGGTTTTTCTACACATACAAAAAGCATTCATGAATCTAGACATTTTCTATTATATAAATAGATCTTAGTATTTTAAATTTAAAACAGCTTTCTTTTCATCATTAAATTTAATATGTAACCTAAAATAATTCATGGAAATTAAAATAGTCACAGAAAATACACAGATTCATAGAAGCTGTTATACTGTACATGATAGAAAAATAATTATCTGATTTTTGACATTTTTTGTTACAAACATAACCTATCACCCATGTGCTGTCCTACTACTACTTTGGTGGAACCAGCATTTAATTACAGATTCTGAGTTTACTCCCATCACGTAAACATCACCGTTTTTTCTATTTTTATATAGAGATGGGATAACATTTCTCATAATTTATTATATACTTTCCTTTGTCAATTTATTAGTATGTATTAGTGTTTCTGTATTCATTTTGATCTTTCTTCTTGGGTTAATGAGACTGTTTCTAAAAGGTTTGAGGGGTACCTGGGTGGCTCAGTCAGTTGAGCGTCCGACTTCAGCTCAGGTCATGATCTCGCCATCTGTGAGTTCCAGCCCAGCGTCGGGCTCTGTGCTGACAGGTCAGAGCCTGGAGCCTGTTTCAGATTCTGTATCTCCCTCTCTCTCTCTGCCCCTCCTCCAGTCATGTTCTGTCTCTCTCTCTCTGTCAAAAATAAATAAACGTAAAAATTTTTTTTAAAGATTTGAGAATCAAGAATAGCATTTGACAGTCCTTTCTGTGTGTGTGTGTGTGTGTGTGTGTGACCCATTGCTATGTCTTGAAGTGATATGTCTGAATGACCATTACTGTCCTTTTCTAAATTCAACATTGCCATTTAAAACTTATTGTTCAATAGTATTTACTGAATATTTTCTTTGTGCAGAACAGTGTGGTTTTAGGAAACGGTGAGTGGCCTTATTTCTGAGGTGAGACTGAGGAAATTCAGATAATTTGCAGTCATTTGGGAGTGATAAATAGAAAAAAAAATTAAGAAACTTTGTGCACATAAGATAAAGCCTGGTAAATACATATCGACTTCTATATTTACTTAAAATATAAGTTAAAACATCACAATTGTATTATTGTGAAGAAATAGAAGTAGTATTAATGAAATAAGAGTAATGATTTTAGAGTTTATTGCCAGTAAATTTTGGGTCATTATATATATATATATATATATATATATATATATATATATGCTATTTGTACTAGAAGTATTTCATTATTGTTTTAAAAATACTGTAGTTCCAATTTGGTGAAACATTATAAAGAAGAGAAATGTTTTCCCTTCCTAATAGTATTCAGCAGTTCTAAATGTTTGATTTTGAATTAGAATGAAAGATAGGATTTTATTAAGACTGTCTTTTCCAAATAAGTACATGAAGGGCAAGGTACTGGGTTAGAAAAGCTAACAATGGACAATATTCCTGGCCAGTGTTCTGAGATAAAGTGAAGGGAAGATTTGTGGAAGCATGCATTTGTCTCTAGTGAAACCACTTTATAAATTTGGGGGAAATACTGTAACTCTTCTTAGCTTTCCCTTGAATAACCTACATGTGTAGATTGGTCCAGTCATGAGTCATGATTTGAACCATTCGTATTCAAGTTATAAAAGTGCAAAAAAAAAGGCTTTCGACCTTTCTCACTATTTTCTGGCAACATTATTATTTTTATACCTTATATTAAAAAGCACCAGTCTGAGCTGTAAGTTTAAAAAATACATATATGCCGTTTTCAAGTCACACACAAGTTTTTAATGGCTACAGCTATTGCCAAGAATAATCTCAGAGAGATATCACAGAACCTTTTTATATTGTTTTTCTTTTTTCCCTCAACTGTTATGTGCAGAATACTATCAATGCATGGCATTAGTTTGTTCCCTTAATGAGCCTAATTTTTTTGTTTTGTTTTGTAGTTACAATAATCTGTAAATTCTGTACATAGTAAATCTTCAGTGCAGCCACCTTTGGTGTCATAGTAACTTGTGGGATCCAACTGGATAAAAAATTACAACACTTTAAAATTACAATTTAAAGGCTGTGCGTGCGGTAACTACTTTTGAACAAACTATAAACGGTCGTTGTAAGCACATACAATTAAGCTTTGGGGTTTATTTTCTGTTCCCTGGTTAAAGGAACTTTTATCTATTAGTTCAATGCTACCCTTACAGTCTCAGGGTCAATAGGTAATATTTTTAATAAGAAGAAAAACAGGAATGTATTCCTATCTCCTAACAGTGTCCCTAAATTCCTATTTATTAGTTATCCCTTTAATAGTTTGAGTCAACTGCCAGAACACTCATTTTAAAACCATTGTATCATACAGACAGAGTTTTTAAAAATGAATGCCTACAATGATTATTTCAATGTGTATTGCCTTCCCAAATCAGTGACACTTGTGATAGAGTCTATTTGTGAGAAGCAAATTTGAAGTGAAGACTACAGAATAGAAGAAGGTTGAATACATGGTACTAACATAGAGTTAAATGTGTATTTTAGTGAAATTGCTGTTTTCTTATCTCTGTTGCAGAAAGGGAATTTTCAGGGTTTTTTTTTTTTTTTTCCACAATGAAAATGAAATTCTAGGCACTGCCTCAGATAACACAGTTAACCAAATAGAGTTGAACATCTCTAACCGTTTTGTATTGAATGAGTCGCCGGTAGTCCTTGATGTATGTCGTTTATGTGTTTTGTAATAAGATCGTTTACAATCTTACACTTTAGTGACATTCAGAATCTTTTCTTTTGCAGCCATTTCGTAGAGTGACGTTTTCTGTTGTGAGTCAGCCTCAGGACCCACATCAGGGGTCACTGCAGAGTTGCTATGACAGCGGGCTGGAGGAGTCAGAGACACCAAGCAGTAAGAGTTCATCAGGGCCAAGGCTGGGTGCCCTTCCACTCCCAGAGGACAGCTACGAAAGGACCACGCCGGATGGCAGTGTTGGTGAGGCAGAGCATATGGAAAATGGTAGGGGCAAACACAGCATCCACACACATAATCACGCTAGTGAGCCATAATAAGTAGACTCATGAGGCTCAGTCTAAATCCAAAACAAAATAGCTGACACTAAAACTATTGTACCTAAAAAAAATAAATATTTGCTAAAGTCCAGAAATACCAAATAAAGGAACATAACTGTATAGATAAAATTCACCAAACTTGCACCATCATTTTCAAACAACCTGTCAGAAGTAAACACATTTACAAATAAATCAGACTAGTACCTTCTATGAAAAAAACCAAAAAACTAAACAAAATTAACTCATAATACCTAAACGATAGAAACTGATAAAGGTCTTATGTTATTGTTTTCTTCTATTCATTTTTGTCATGCAACTATTTCTTCAACTGCAATTGTCCAGCCTCAGTGAAAGGAAATGACAATAAACACACTTTGCTCAATCCTTTCTTTTCTGACGTATTCAGTAAAGCGTTTTGGAACCTCTCCTTTTGAGTGATAGCTGAAATGGAGTCAAACAAGAACGATGATATCTTATTCTCAAAAAATAGATTGTAAATACTATTAGAACTCCTTGTCATTTAATTATAAGGTTTTTTTTTTCTTCTCATTTTTGTGCAAGGGAAAGAGAAGAAAGCAAATTTTAGGACTCCATATTCTTACCCTTTTGTGAGATGATTCTCATAATTACCACAATTGGCCTTCTCTACACTTTCTTGATGTTATAAAGTTAGACTGCAGATAGTTCTTATAAACTTTTCACATCTGTTTATGTTTCCCCCAAACGGGTGATTTATTTTTTGGATTTCAGGTTATAAGTAAATGTCTTAGGAATAGCTTTGTGTCAAATGATGGAACAGGAAAGTTCATACTAATTTTATGATTATTTCAAATGTAAAAAGAGATTTGGTTATATGTAAGTGAAGGAAGGGGGATCACACACATTATATCTCTGGTGAACACTTGAAATGGATTTGCCTTTCACCATCCCATCACCCAAGTGAAATAAGACATTCTAACTTTTGTTATACACTGGTTTCTTTAGTGATGGTATGCAAATAGAGCATATTAATTCAGGGAAATCTGATTTTTTTTCTGGAAGTTTACCTATGAATATTAAAATCCAACCTTAGAGCGTAATAGATGACAAGTGAGCCCAAGTGAAATTATGGCTAAACTAAATCATGTTAAATAATTAGTTTTCTACATTGTTATCTGGGTGAGAAGATATGATATCAGGATCTGTTGATGGATATCCCTCTTGATGAACAATCCAGAGTTATATGGCATTTGCCTTATGGCTATAAAGGCATGCTTATCTGTGTGTATGGGGGTGTATGATTATGTGGATGGGAGTTTGATGTGCTTTTTAAGAATGAACTATTTTTTAGTATCATTTTAAATGACTACCAAATTTTGGTATAAATTACATTGCTGATGAATATATTTCTAAGGCAAATATGTTTGAAATGCTTTGCACAAAAGTAAAAATTAAGCTAAGATACTATAATAATATTACACATACACACACCTAAGAAGGAAGGAAGGATTGATTTATTTTAAGGACATTCCTATATCTGTGATTACCTTTTGATGTTATCATTTTATTTGTGTTTAAAAAAGTATTTATCTCATTCTCAGCAACCGTATGTATAAGGAAGTATTTATTTATTTTGGGATGTCAGCTTTAGTAACAGAAAGAATTTTGCATCATTGGCATTATAATCACATTTTAATGTTATTTTTCTGTTTTTTTGAGTTTGAGGGGATCCGACCTTTAAAATAAGAAAGAAATGATGAGTAAGAAACATAATTATATATGACAAACACATTATCAGTTACTTTTTAGGAAACATACATGTCATGGAAAACTTAACAGGTGAGCTTGTTAAGAAACTAGAAAGTTTACTGACAAACATTTCCCACATAAGGTGTTTAGTTATTTTTTGTAACCATGTTTTTAGTCTTGTCATCAGCAACGACCATCATAATAGAACTGATTTTTCTGATTTTGTATGTAACTGACACTTGAAATTCAGTTTTATGTAATCATTTGTCATCTGCCAGCCGTGATTCATGTTAGTCTTGATCTATAGGTAATGACAGAAGGAGATGTGATTCACTTTGGGTGATCCAAATGTAGCAGTTGGCATTTGAATAAGTTTTGTTGGGACCAAGTTTTCAGACTACTATCTAGTCATAAAGTACAATTGTATTGCTTGAATTCTGGTAATTTCATCTTCAATATTAATGGATCATTCTGACATAAATAGAATTGGAATTGAAACCTGTCAAGTATTCATTTGTCACCTTTAATTGGAATCCAGGTAATCTGCAACGTTTTGCTTGGTTAGGTTTTAATCAGGATTTGTATTGGATTTTCTATGAAAATACCATTTTGGATGCTGTCCTAGTTCCTAATTATTATTACCTCAAATGTTTTCTTTAATTTTAACCCATGTGAAATAATGTAGTTATAACTGATTTTTGGATTAACTTTCATTGTAAAGTTTGGAAGATAATTTTCCAGTGCAAAAACAACATTCCAATGTCACGACGTGACCTGGGTATACGCTAGAAAAGCTAATGATAAAAATAAGTTGTCACAGATGCTTTAGTAAGGAAATAACTAAAAGTAACTGAAATAACTAAAAGGAAAATTTAAGTAGATAAGTAGTGAAATGCACTTATGTTTTACAAAAGCTTTTATTTGCTTCCTATACTTTAGCATAATAAACACAATTTTATAAAGAGGGCTTGTGGATTAATAGGTTTTATAATAAGCTTTAGCCTACATTCCAACCCACCTTACTGTCAAATGATGAATGAGGTTTTATTCTTTTATTAGCTTAGGAAAAAGAATACACTGTAAGAATAAACATAATTTCGTGAAACCTGAATCTAATAATTCGAATGAGTCCCACCATTTTAATAATTTCAGACCCAGGGTACTTATATCCATGGGTCCCTGGAAAGCGGTAATGGAAATGGTATCATTAAAAAGTATTTTAAGGATTGTTTATGAATTATACATTAATTTATGAAAAAGATCACTAAAATATTTTCTTTTCTCTTTATTATTATCAATAGTATGATTATTTCATGTTGATCTTTCGATAAGATTGGGGAAATTGATTATTTATTATTTCAATAAAATATTCCTAACGGGATAAGGTATTTTAGAATAGGGAGCTCATGATAGGAAGTTTAGTAATGATAAAATACTTGATAATGACATGTTAAAACAATTGGAAACCTACTGGCATAAATTCATAATTCAAGTGAAACCCAAATAGTAAGCTTAAAACCATCATCACATTAGGAGCATACATTGACTATGCAAGAACTTGCCCTTTTCTACATTAGGCAGTTGTCATCAGACTTTCTCACAGAGTGGTATTTAACCTTCGCTTTAGCTCTATTGTCACTATTTATCTTGACTTTTGAATTAATGCCATAGTCATCTTATTCTTCCCAGTCGCCCCCCAGAATTACCTTTGCAAGTTAATTTGGCTTTGTTATATATCATGTAACCATATATAGTGTTCAACAATTCAAATATAAGAAATATTTGACCTCCAATCCCAATTTTGCCATTATGAATGGGTAGGTCACAAACTCCTTCTGGATCTGCTACTAATCATTTGTAAGGCAGTTAACAGAATTAACCCTAAAATCTTACTCAGATCCAACAATCTGTGATTTTTTCTTACATCCCATTTTTCTTATATGTTTTACTTCAAGTCAGAAAAAGTACTTTGGGTCTCTTAGTGAGATGGCAAATGAATTTGAAAATTTGTGCTAATGTGAGCAGGGAAGAATTCTAGGGCCTTCCTTGCAACCTACAAACCGTGCATTTTAATAGTAGTAATGCACGTATGAGATAAAGAAGTCAAGTGAATGAAATTGTGTGATTTCTGACTAGGTGAGTAGAAACGTTGGTACCTAGCAGGTCAACGTGGGAGACAATTTTAGAGCCTCCCTCAAATCACACCATGCAAGAGCCATCTGTAGATTTGACCTGGCTCTGGGTGTAATGCCCTTCAAAACATTAATTGTAATTAAGTGATCTCACAATAGAATGAACACGTTTACTTTCTTGCTTGACAACGTACTTTGATCAGAGTAAGAATGAACAGAAGGTAGAAAATGGTATTTATTTTCCTCTAGGTAAACCTCCGAATAGTATAACATAGACGTAAATTAAAACTGGAAAATAGCCGTTGGTCTGTAAGGCAGATTTCAAAAACTTAAATAAAGTCAAAAAAAAAGTTGACCACGCTAAATGCCTAATTAATTTTCTGCCACTTTATGTTCCCAGATTTTTAAAAGATCATTTTGATATTTATACACTAATATTTTTGAGCGTACCCCCACTTCCAAGCTCTCTTACATTTTCAGAATTGTATGTTAGGCTTAATCATTGTTTCAGTCATTCCCCTCACTCCACATGTGTTCAATAGGGTTTAGAATACATTGTTTTTGATGGTTAGAACATGGTACAGTCCATCACAAAGCCGTTTTGTATATGCTATGTGCTTGTCCTTTGATTTCAGAAATAAATGACAGTATATGTGAAATACCAATTGGAAATGAAGTACCATTTTTATATGAACAAGGATAATGAGGATGGAGACTAACCTCATAACCTGGTGTGGGATAAAGGGTTTTCTCTCTGCTTTTCTCCCATCTATCCAATTTCCAATTCACCTACCCAATGGGGGTCACTTTTCGGGTACCCCCATCTAGTCACTGTTGGTTTGTACTGTTTTCATTTAGACTAAATTAAATAACAAGTCAGTCTCCCATCTTTCCAAAGATGCCCAAATACTTGTTAATGGCAGGAGCGTAATCTCTCAAAACAAATGCCCCACCTATTTTTTTTTTTTTTTTTTTTTTTTTTTTTCCTTCAGGAAGACACTCACATACCCTGGAAAGGATGCATTTCCATGGTTCTGTTTTTCAGTGTGGCACTCTTGTTGCCAGAGTTGGATTGCATTTTCTCCTT